TTGGTGTTCACAAGCGCTGTGGTTTTCACAGACGCTGCGCTCGTCAAAAGCATTGTGCCGTTTACGGGCACGTCGCGTTGATCGGACCGCAAACTATTGCAGCGCTTGACATAGGCGCGTCGTGGCTGTCGGGTCGCAAGCGATTTTTTCGCTGGCGTACTACAGGTGGTGTGCACGTTGACAGCTGTATACACAGGCGCTGTTGTGCACCCGTGCGTTGCGACGTACGCTGACGATGTTGTGCGCGCGTAGGTTGCTGCATCAGCATGCGTGGTGTTCGTGGGCATCGCGGCGCTGTGTAGCACTCGCAGCTGCTAGGTCCTTTCGTTGCATGAGTGCTATGACCGATAGCAACAAAGGGCAGTCCTTCCAGCACAATCAGCATTCGAGCGGCCAGGCGCGACTGCGTTGTGCGCGCGGAGCGTGCTGCTGTGGGCGCAGCAAAGGGTGTGAAAAAAAATGGTATGGCGCGTGTACAGTCGTATACGCAGTTTCTGTGGTTTAGTGATCACTGCCATGCGCCATGCACTGTGGTGTACACGCGCGATGTGGTGCGCGCATAGGCTGCTGCATCAGAATGTGTGCATACAGCCATTCGAGCGGCCGGGCGCGGCTGTGTTATGTTATGTGCCAGCGACCCCACCCACCCACCCAGCCACATAACGCGCGTTATGTGGAATAATAAAAACTTGATCTCCTCCTCCTCCTCCTCTTCCTCCTCGGATCCCCGGCATTTCCGCGTCGTGGCCAAAAGTCACGACTGAAGTTTTTTGGGCAAGCTTCGGACTCCAGTGGCCCATTCACTAGGCCCCGGGACAGGCACAACCGACTCAGGATGAAAAGCTGGTCCTTCAGTATCGTTTAACCAATCCCCATCCCTATCCCCATCCCTTTCGAGACCCTCACCAAATTATCACCCCAGTTGGGGATACACCCCTCGAAACCCGAAGGGAACGACCTATATCCCCATCTAGGGGGGGAAATCGGCCAGTGGGGCCCAGAGGCCACGCCGCTGGGGATGAGGATCGCTTCCACGATACTCAGTCCCGGAGAAGGGGTCCAGATTCTGGGGGGCCACCACTGTGGGAGAAAACACCGCGTCGGATCTCGGGGTCCTCCTCGCTTGCGCGGAGGGACGCGGAGGAGCTTCGCGAGGGACACGGGCCCTGGACCCCAGGGGGTTATCGCTCCCCCCCCCGCGGCGGACCCTTGCGAAGCAGCTTGGCACCTCGTCGTTCGGCCGCGCGCAGAACGGGCAGGGGGAGGAGGGAAGATTGCTTGAAGTTAGAAGCTCCCTTGCGTCTTAGAAGGCGCGGGCGTTTTTTTTGTTTGGTTTGTTTTTGTTTCCCCCCCTCTCTCTATATATATGCTTATATATACACATATATACACCTGTATATACGTACATGTGTATATATATATATATATATATATGTAGATGTAGGGCCGGCGCCTTCTGGGAAGCAGCCTCCTTCTAAGAGGCCTTCCCTCCTCCCCTTTCCCCTTGCTGTGCGCGCCGCCACTCCACGTCCTGCCCCAGGGTGTGCTTCGGCCAGGCTGCGGCCGTCGAGGGGGCCCGGCTCGCGTTCCTCGGGCGGGAGGCCAGCACTTCGGCCACCCGAAGGGCCGGAGAGCGTGCCTGCTGCCACGACCGGGTCGACCCTCGGCGTGTCGGCTCCAGCGCTCCACCTCCAACCCGAGCTCAGGAGCCGCTTCTTGGGAGGGGAAGGGCGTTCCTTCCACCCCCTCCATCCTCTCCCTCCTCCTCCCTCCTCTTCCTTGTACTCCTCCTCCTTCTCCTCCTGCTCCTCTCCTCCTCCTCCCCCTCCTCCTGCTCCTCTCCTCCTCCTCCCCCTCCTCCCCCTCCTCCTACTTCTCCTCCTCCCTCCGTTCGTCGGCCAGTGAACGGGCGTTCCCAGCCCGGACACACACACACACACACACATACACATAGACACACACACACACACACCGATCCGCTGGGCTCAGGATCTTGGCGCCTGGTCAGGGCCGGTGCAGGTCACCAGTCTCGGGGGCCGTGAGCAGCATGGGCGGGGCCCAAACACATCGCAGATGTCATGCATGTCGCCCCCATTGTTGTCCTTCTTCGTCGTGTCCTTGGCCGTTATGATTTTGTGTTTGCTGCGTCGCTATTCGTATCATGTTTGTGATTATCCTTCTTGCAACGCTAACCCGCCTATCAGTAGCCTCCCCCTCTCGCGCACCCGACCTCCGACCTCCGTGCCCATAAACTTCCTTGCGGTCCTGGACCAGGCGTCCCCAATGGAGGACAAATCTGTTAGAGGAGGAGGAGGAGGAGGAGGAGGAGGAGGAGGAGGAGAAGGATGGAGGATGGAGGATGGCGGATGGCGGATGAAGGAGGAGAAGGATGAGGAGGAGGAGGAGGAGGACCAGTGTAAACCCAAGAGTCATCAACGATGTTGGAGTAAACCCTCCCTCCAACCTCCCTCTTTCTTGGCCCCTACAACGGTCTATTTCCATTGATGGAACTGCGTCCTTGGAAGACACTCATTTGAAGACCCTGAAGTATGCCAAAACATTGTTCTCGGCATTCCAACGCCACGGATCATCCTGACTTGCGTCTCGACGATCATGAATTTTGCCAGGACGCCAATTCTAGGACGTCAACACAGAGAATGAGCGTAATTGTTGCGCCCGCATAATCCAGAATCCTTCCAAAGCACATTTCCTGGTACGCTGATAATGTGAATCCGTGAAGGCCTTGCAATTGTTGAAAACGAACGTGCGCCGCGCTAAGGCGAGAGCCACAGTTTGAAAACCTCCCGCCCTCAATCCGTGAAACTCTCGCAAATGTTTAGAACGAATGTGCGCCGCGCTAAGGCGAGAGCCACATCTTGAACACCAATTTCCCTCAATCCGTGAAACTCTTGCCAATGCTCAACACGAATGTGCGCCGCGCTAACGCAAGAGCCACATTTTGAAAACCACCCGCCATCCATATGTGAAACAGTTGCCACTTGTTAAGCTTCAGAGTCGTAACTGGTGAGGGAGTCTCAGGCGAAACGCCAGGCCCGCCCTAAAAACTGGCCTCGGGGTGCGACAGGGAGAAGTTACTTGTAAGGAAAAGGAGAGGAGGAGGAGGAGAAGGAGGAGGAGGAGGAAGTGGAGGAGGAAGGGGGGAGGGAGGGAGGGAGGGAGGGAGGAGGAGGAGAAGGACCTCAACGGTGGCTTCCATTCTCGGAGCACCCGGCCTCCGACCCTCTCGCCCAGTGTCCGTCGCCCCCACCCCCGGCCCCGCGGGAGACGAGGTACGGGCCGCCGCCCGGATACGGCGCGCTGCCCCCTGCCGTGAGAGTGTGCCCGCAACGGGGGGCGTGGGACTCGTGTCAGGGCGGGCGTGTCCCCCTGCAGGCGGATTTCGGAAGAAACATAAAGACTGGCCGAAACAGATTCACCAATGGTCGGGATATCGTCCCCAGACAATGTTTGTTTCCCAGCCCTCCTTGGTTGAGTATTCGTTTTGACTAGAGCACTGCGGTCGCGTCTTCTCCTCCCGCCTTCTGCCTCTCGCCGCTTTCTCGCCTCCTGCCCCCCAGGGCCTCGCCGATCCTGGGGGGCTGCGATCTGCGACATTGTCACCATTTTCGAGGGGTGGTGATGGGTCCAGCGGGTGAGGCACCGCGCAGACCTGAGCGGGACCTCGCCGTCCCTGGGGGGCTGCGATCTGCGACCCTGGGGGGCTGCGATCTGCGACATTGTCGCCACTTTCGAGGGCTGGTGGTGGGTCCAGCGGGGTGAGGCACCGCGCAGACCTGAGCGGGGCTTCGCCGACCCTCGGGGGGCTGCGATCCGCGGCATTGTCGCCATTTTCGAGGGTTCTTGGTGGGTCCAGCGGAGTGAGGCACCGCGCAGACCTGAGCGGGACCTCGCCGTCCTTGGGGGGCTGCGATCTGCGACATTGTCGCCATTTTCGAGGGCTGTTGGTGGGTCCAGCGGAGTGAGACACCGCGCAGACTTGAGCGGGACCTCGCCGTCCCTGGGGGGCTGCGATCTTCGACGTTCTCGCCATTTTCGAGAGTTGTCGGTGGGTCCAGCGGGGTGCGGCACCGCGCAGACCTGAGAGGGACCTCGCCGTCCTTGGGGGGCTGCGATCTGCGACATTGTCACCATTTTCGAGGGGTGGTGATGGGTCCAGCGGAGTGAGGCACCGCGCAGACCTGAGCGGGACCTCGCCGTCACTGGGAGGCTGCGATCTGCGACCCTGGGGGGCTGCGATCTGCGACATTGTCGCCACTTTCGAGGGCTGTTGGTGGGTCCAGCGGGGTGAGGCACCGCGCAGACCTGAGCGGGACCTCGCCGTCCCTGGGGGCTTGCGATCTGCGACATTGTCACCATTTTCGAGGGCTGCTGGTGGGTCCAGCGGAGTGAGGCACCGCCAAGACCTGAGCGGGACCTCGCCGTCCCTGGGGGGCTGCGTTCTGCGACGTTGTCGTCGCCTTTTTCGAGGGCTGGTGGTGGGTCCAGCGGAGTGAGGCACCGCGCAGACTTGAGCGGGACCACGCCGTCCCTGGGGAATTGCGATTTGCGACATTGTCGCCACTTTCGAGGGCTGGTGGTGGGTCCAGCGGAGTGAGGCACCGCGCAAACCTGAGCGGGGCTTCGCCGACCCTCGGGGGGCTGCGATCCGCGACATTGTCGCCATTTTCGAGGGTTGTTGGTGGGTCCAGCGTATCCCTGATGTGCCCCCCCGAGTGCCGTTCGCAGAAGTATATGCGTCCATATCACGTCGTCGCCCTCCCATCAAATCTCCAATGCTACTCCTGCCCTGCACTGCGCAGGGGTTGGGTACGTCGCTAGGGTAATTTAACTATGTTTGACTATTCCTCCTGTAGAGGGACATGCCCGATTCAAGACTCGTGGAGTAGCGGAGCGGCGATTGGAGGGGCGAGGGAGTTGGCATCGGGGTTCTTCAGCGTCGTCTGTCCAGTTCTTTTGAATGGGAGGGAGAGGGGTGGCTCTCATGGCGCACTCTTGGCGATTGTTGGGCGATGGAAAAAAACGAGGTCGACTGCGCCGACATTGGCGCGAAAGCTGCTCGCGCAAGGTCGCGCGTCAGTGCCTTCGTGGCGTGCCGCGCCGGCGGCCAGCGTAAGCCACCGCGTAAGGTCGCTTCGTCATCTCGCGTAAGATCCGTTCTCGATGACTCGCCCAGTCGGACCCGCCCCGGAAAAGTCTGACCAGAACGCACCTGCTGCGTCGGGCTGTCTCAAAGGAGCGAGGCCTCCAGATTATGGATTCCCAGAGCTAGAATGGACAGCTGTTTTTGTTCGTCAGGTTCGGCTTCCGAAGCCGCTTCGGACCCCACATGGCCGTCAGAAAGCAGCTCGGGAAGAAAGCTGGTTCCTGGAAAGGGACCGGGATCTCCTGGGGTCTACGCGACTAGCAGAAGACTGACATCACAGAGGAGAGGCGTCCCCGCGGCTCAAGCAATATTAGAGTTTGCGTGATTCCGTCAGACTCTTCCCGTACCGGCATCCCGCAAGTGACTGGGCATCCAGCATTGCGACATCGCGACTGCTAGAAGTTGACGAGGGTCCCAAACCGTTGGCAGTACTGACTTCCCTGGGGGATGTCCCTGGGGTCAGCGCTGAGGGTCGAGTGGAGACCCTTCACTTCGATGTTCCACACTTTAGCGCGTAATCCACAACAGGCGGGTCGTCGAAGTCGGAGCCCCCTTGGTGCAGGACGACCTCGGAGTCTTTTGTGTGCTTAATTAAGATGGCCCAGCAGCGAACGTCGACCTGACAGAAGAGGGGCGACCCTTTCGTCGGATTCCTTGGTTGCCAGAGTCCCGCCCCCACGCCTCCGCGACCCAGCATGCGGGCTGCAACGAGGCAAGCGGAGGCGGGGCATTCTCCCCGGCACCAGGCCCTGGCCAGGCCGGGCGGGGCGGTCCCTCGGTGCCGTGGCACACTCCGAGCACGGCACCCGCCTTTTGCAGGGCCCTCACGGCGAGGCGCTTTCTGGCGCTGGATGCCCATCCGGCCCGCGCCGTCCCAGAAGCCAGCGCTGCAGGGCGGAGGCCCCGCCGCCCAGGACCGGAGAGCGATCGGCGTCCACAGCGTTTGGCATTTGGGGCAGCGCGCCTGCAGAGCGAGCTGGAGTTGTTTGCTGGCGGTTGGCTGCAGCGTTGCTGACATCCTGGCGTCCGTGGGCATCGCTGGGCAAGGGGAGCCATGGGTCAGTAGGGACCAGTCGGCATAACACACACACATAAACGCTGCGTTTCTGATGCCCGTGAGAACATCGGAAGCGATAGGGAATGGTTGCGGCAAGAGGAACATCCAGGAACGCCGACGAGTGCACTGCGAACCACTCACTCACAGGTGGGGAAAGCCCCAGTCGAGCCAAGCGGGGAAGCAGCTGAAGCAGCGCCCCGAGGTTGCCCACCTCTCGGGGCCCCCCCTGAGAAGCCTCGTGCGATACCGTGGGCCCCCTGGGGCTCTCTCGGAGCTCTTCTGGGAGCAGTTCGGACACACTCAGTGCCTGCCCCGCTGTGAGCCCGAAGTTGGGATCCTCCTCGTATCGGGGAAACGCAAGACCCGAGTAAGCCGGAACTCGGGTCTGCCGACGTTTTTTTGACGAGCGCGTCCTGGATTTTGACGGTCCAGTTTTCGTGGGATGTCTGCAGCGGGAGCTCACGTCAAATTTCAGATTGGGCCTCGTCATTTTTATGATGGCCTCGTCGGGCCAACCCGAGTCCCCCGTACCCGAGTCTTACGTCTCCCCGATCGTATTCTCTTGGGTATTATCTGGGGCCGTGGGAGCTATCTCTGGCCCTTCGGATTTGTTGTTCTTTGGGCCCGATTGGGCCATCTATGAGCCATCTAGATGCCAATAGGGGGCGAGACTGGGAAATCATTGAAATAGGTCAGACCTTTTCAATGGAATTGTTGACGCTTCGCGTATCCCCACCAGCCCATCCAGAAACGATGCTCAGGGGAGTTGAGGTGATCAGGGAAGTCGGGGAGCATGCAGAATAACAAAGGGCGGGGGAAGCTGTCACAGACCCCGAGAGGGGGAGGATGGAAGAGGAGTCGTCGTCGTCGTCGTCGTCGTCGGAGGAGGAGGAGGAGGAGGAGGAGGGGGAAGAGGAGGAGGAGGAGGAGGAGGAGGAGGACGGAGAAGGAGGAAGAATCGGAGGAGGAGGAGGAGGAGGGGAAGGAGCTTCTTGGGGGTCTTTTGAGGGCCTCTTGGAGGGCTTTTTGGGCGCCTTGGGGCATCTTGGGCGCCTCTTGGGACCCTCTTGAGGCGCTCTGGGGAGCCTTCGGGGCGCTTTTGGGGCCATCTTGGAGGGAGTCGATCAAACAAGAGGGGGGGTTTAATTAGCGTCCCCCCTCGGAAGCCCCTAAAATCGCCTCTTGGACCCCTCTTGGAACGCTCTTGGAGTGCTCTTGGGCGCTCTTGGGGCCGTCTTGGGGCTCTTTTGGGGCTCTCTTGGGGCCCTCTTGGGCCATCTTGGAGCCATCTCCAGGCCTCGGATGGCCATCGGAAGCGAAAAGGCGAGAAAGCAAAAATCATTGATTTTCCTTAGGTTTTGGGACGATTTTGGCCTCTTCGGGGCCTCCTTGGGGAGCTGTTTGGCCACTTGGAGTTATCTTGGGGCCGTCTTTGGGCTTCTTGGAACCATCTTAGGAGCCATCGTGAGCGATCTTGCGCTATCTTGAGCCATCTTGGAGCTCATCTTGGGTTCTCTGAGGCGCTCTTGGAGCCGTCTTGGGCCATCTTGGACGCTCTAACTACCCGCGGCCCCCCCCGTCCAGGTCCAGGGGAGGGGGTAGGGGGAGGGGTAAACCCCTCCCCAAGGGGGAAGAGGGAGGGGTGGAAGAGGATCTGCTCTAGACCACCTACGCCCAGAGGGCTGGTGGGATTAGCCTTTTCTGGAGCACACTTGGAAGTATCGTGAGCCACCTTGGAACCATCGTTGGCGTATCTTCGTGTACAGTAGAGGCAGGCTGGTCGGCACTCAGGTGGTTCCAGGTTTGCTCAGTGCATGTGGTCGGGCATCATTGGTGTGTTTACCGGGGGAAAATCAATGGAGGCAGGCTGAAGGCAGTCTTGAACCAACTTTTAGCCATTGCATGCTATCTACGAGGAATTCGCAACATGGGACCATCTTGGAACGCGAGGCCATGCAAGTAGGGCCGTCCTTGACCCCGCTCTGTTTCTCTCTCCACCAGCTGCGCCGTGCACCACAGTTCCTCTCTTGTTATGCTTAGCATTTGAGCTCTAGGAGGTACCGCTGAGTTGCAAATCGATTGCGTTGATCTCGGGGCACAGGCAATGCACATGGCTCTTTGGCGCTCATCCATGATGACCTGGACAGCCCAGCAAAGAGGAGGAGGGCGTGGAGGGCAGGGAACGGATATGGGGAGCATGAGGTGGAGAACCTGCTCTCCCAGTCCCCCCTCCTGTCGCCCCGCGGGGCGACCACTTTGTGGGACAAGTTGTGCCTGGATCACAACTTCCTACGAACACACGGTCGGTGACATGGTTCGTGCAGTTTGGCACAGAGACGATTTGGTTCGGCGCGATGGCGCTCGAACCCTAGATGCTTAGATTTCATGCAGCCTGTGGGGGGTGTCACTTCGGCGACGCGTTGGTCCTTCCATCCCTCCCCCCCTCTCCTCCTCCCGCTCACCCGCCACCTCCTCATGTGTTCACAGCTTCTCTTTCTCTTCTGATTGCGAATGGCGCGATGGAGTCGTTTCTCGGAGTTCCAGGTCAGCTCTGACATGCTTCCACGGATAGACACACACACACATATGCACCATGGGAAGGGAAGAGATGAGAGGGAGGAATATGATGTCAGATGTGGCGCGAGCGCCCGTAGCGCGCCCCCTCCCCTTTCCTCCCCTCGCCCGCCCGCCAGGGTCCTTCTCGATCCGATCGATCCGAATGTCGATTCCGTCTGGCCCGATCCGATTCGATTCCGATGTTCTGGCGATCCGATGTGGTCAGATGCTTTCATGGCGCTGTTGTGCATCCTGGCGCCGCCTATGCGATTCGATTCTCGCTCCGTGTCGACGCGGTCCGACTCGATACACGCCTCGATCAGATCCGGTTTTCCGATTCGATGTTGACTGTTCTTCGTCTTCGTCGTCGTCGTCGTCGTGCCCGTCCTCGTCCTCGACCTCGTCCTCGACCTCGTCCTCGTCGTCTTCGTCTTCCACGTCGTCGCCGCAGCCGCCGCCGCCACCGCCGCGCCCGCCGCCGCCGCCGCCGTTGCCGCCGCCGCCGTCGCCGTCGCCGCCGCCGCCGCCGCCGCCGCCGCCGTCGTCGTCGTCGTCGTCGTCGTCGTCGTCGTCGTCGTCGTCGTGCGGCCGCCGCCGCCCGCGGCCGCCGCCGCCGCTCACGCCACAGGCGCGCCGCGCGAGCCGCCCCCCGCGCATCATGCGGCGGCCTCGGCCGCCCGCTCCCCGCTGCCCGCTCCCTCGGGTCTCGCTCCGGCCCCAGCGGTGCAGCCCTGACAAGGAGGAGGAGCAGGAGGAGCAGGAGGAGCAGGAGGGGGGGGAGGACGGGGAGGAGGAGGAGGAGGAGGAGGAGGAGGAGGAGGAGGAGGAGGAGGAGGAGGGAGGAGGGAGGAGGAGGAGGAGGACGGGGAGGTGGGGAGAGGGAGGAGGAGGAGGAGGAGGAGGAGGAGGAGGAGGAGGAGGAGGAGGAGGAGGAGGCGGCGAGCAGAGAGGAGCAACGTTGTGTCGTGACAGTGACTTGCTTCACTGGAAGTGGGCGCGGGGCCTCATCCAAGACCTTGCGGGCGAGTGCGTCGCCCCGCCCCGACTCTTCCTGATGTCTACGCGCTCGGGGATCTGAATGGTCACCGCGTCTTGTCGGGCTGGGTCGCCACGGGCGGATGCGCGCTCTGTCCCGACATGGACGAACTACCCACAGGAGGCTTCGCCTCCATCAGCTGGGATCGTGAGAAAAGCAGTGAGCGACAGGCTGTCTTTGGGAGCGTTCCCGCCTCGTGGCCCACGTCGGCCCACTGCGAGATCTGGGCTGTATTCCAGGCCGTTCGGAACTCAGTGGGGCTCGAGGGGCTCATCATAGACAGTGAGTCCACCGTGGAAGGCCTCTTGGCTGGTAGGGAAGCTTGCGAAAAGGAGCGATCAGATAACCGCTCATCTGTGGCGTGGGGTTTGGGCTGTCTTGGAGGACAATGGGCGTGTGCCTGGGGTGATCCTCCAGATTGTCAAAATCAAGTCTCACCAAACCATCGCGCAGAGAGCTCACCTAGAGGGGGAGGCTCCAGTGTCTTTCGTGATGAATAAGTGTGCTGACTCCCGCGCGAGGCAAGGCGTTTTGAGTTTTGTGGCCTCTTTTCGCGTGAGGCTTTCGGAGTCCAAGGTTGCCACCGCGAGCCTGCCTCCTCCCACCGCTGGACGAGCTCGGAAAAAGGTGCGGGGCGTCCGTCCCGCTGAGGCCCATTGAGGGTGGCACCTGGAAGTGCGTGGCCTGCCCTCGCACCGTCCTCCTTCCAAGTCGGTTAGCATCAGCCCACAAGAAATTGTGTCCAGGTTGGGAGGGCGCGTTTGCCAGGGGCAGGGCCGCGGCCCGACTGGTTTCACGGACCCTGGTCCACGGCAACGGCGGTCCAAACAAGTCCAGCTTTGTTTCGGGAGCCAAGGTCGGAGGGGCCGAAGCGAACCCGAGTTTGGCTTCCCCACCCCCACCGCGTCGGCACGAGGTAATCGAGAGAGCGGGGTACGCCGTGTGTGTTGTTTGTGGGGCCCTCGCCAAGTCTCGAGCCCAAACACTGCTTCGAGATTGCGAGGGTCCTCAGATGAAAGGCGTCGCGGCCCACAAGAGTCGGCGACGATTTTGGAACGTCTCCTCAACCATAGGGATCCCTGCACAGGCAAGCTTGTTCGGGAGGAGGATCGGCGAACTGCTTTTCGGCCAGGGGGTGCGCGGTTGTTTGAGGCCCGCCCCCAGGACCCCCCAGGACAAAAGAGGAGGAGGAGAAGGAGGAGCTGGGGGAAGATATGGATGTTTCAGTTGCGCGGCGCACGTGGCGATTTTCGCTACGCTCGTGGATTACAGGTGGCATTTTCGAAGGCGCGCCACCAGTCCCAGGCTTAGGTCGTGAGGACTTGCGAGGACTGGTTGCGGATGTGCGCAGTGATGGAGGGGTGGAGGTGGAGAAGGAGGGGGCCACCAGACCATGCGGGGGAAGAAGCCGACTGATTGCTGATTTGCCTCGCGCCCCTGCCCTGACTCCTGCCCCTCCCCCGCCAGCTCTCGCGAATGCGTGGGCGGGCTGGCACCGGAGTCTTCAGAAGGGGTGGCGGGCGGGGCGAGGCGTGAGTGTGGCATGGGGGCGCCGCCCTGCGCGGCCCGCGCCCGCAGCCCGCGCTGTTTTTGCGGAGACCTCGGTGCGGTCCGTCCCGGGGCGGCGTGTGGGCGGCGTGCACAAACTCGCGCCCGCGGAGTCTCGGTCGGGGCAGGAGCGCTGCAGGGGCGCCAGCTGGTGGGCCTGCTCTCCACCACCACCACCACCACCATAAGCAGGAGGGGGAGGGTGTCCTCCTCCTCCTCCTCCTCCTCCTCCTCCTCCTCCTCCTCCTCCTCCTCCTCCTCCTCCTCCCCCTCCTCCTGCTCCTCCTCCTCCTCCACCTCTTTCCCCCCTCCAACTTATGGTGGTGGTGGTGGTGGAAAGCATGCCCTTCACCAGCGGGGAGCCTTTCACCAGCGGGGAGGACCGGCCCACAGGGGGGAAGCAGCGGCCCACCATCGACCTTTTGCCGATCGGGGCCTGGGTGCCCCAACTTGCCAAGTAAGGAGTGCGGTGTCTTTTCCCAGGGCCAATGGCTGATAATGTTTGCCCAATGTCGCCGCAGTGCAGACGATGTGTATCGTCGATTCGTGGTCACTGCTTCCCCGCCTTGGCCAGTCCCCCCTTATCTCGAAGAAGAACAACTACAAATCTTAGCTTCCGATGTCCGCGCGGAACGTTATACCCTTGCACGTTGAGCGAGCTATTGGCGGCGCTGGAGGCGTCGGCAGGGTGCTCCAATGCGGATCCAACAAATCCGCGCGCACCATCAAACCGATAGGTTTTTCTTGATTCACAGCGTTATGTTTCAGGTTTTCCCCACATGACACGTGTGATTTCCACTGGCTGTTTAGCGCAATTTCTGGGAACCTCCGAGCGCTTTTTGCGAATGCCCTGGTCGGCCTCCTGTGGGCCACGCTGCGGTTTTGGGTAGATTGGCGCTGAGAGAAAGGGTTTGTCTTGAGAGAAGGCTTGCTCCAGCAGCGGAGCGGGAGTCATTGATTTTAGCAGCGGGGGGGACGGTAATCCTAAGGAGTCGCGGGTGGCAGGAGTGATTTTGAGTCTTCGTCACGATCGAAATAGGGACCTGAAGGACGAGGACGAAGACCAGCAGCATTCCCTGCCCATGTTGAGCAGGATTTGTCGTCGGTGTTTTTGCACGGACGTTGTCATCTTGAGTCAAACAGTCGCTTGCCCAACAGCGTCCGCCGCAGGTAGACAGTGTTCGTTGTTCGGCATTGTGTGCCCACTCTTTTCCGTACCCACTTCGGACGTTCTAATGTTAGCCACGCGCAGAAGGGGGTATGGGGGGAGACGATTCTTAGAATGAGGCTGTTTCTTAAAAGGCGTGAGCCTTCTCTGCAGATACAGGGCCGGCGCCTTTTAAGAAGTGCCCCCCCTCCCCTTACAGTCAACCCGCAGAGTAAGGACGAGCAGCTTTCCAAGCTTACCCTTGCACCCTTCCCCCTTCATCCTTGGCTGCTTTCGCTGACCGCGCCCCGTTCGCAGAGAAAACAAGTCGACATGGGCTTCCAGGGCCCTTGCATCCTGATCGTGCGTCCTTCTTGTTTTGATGGGCCCATGTTCCACCACCACTACCATAGGTAGGCAAGGGCCAGGGAGGAGGAGGAGGAGGAGGAGGAGGAGGAGGAGGAGGAGGACCTCCTCATCCTCCCTTCTTCCCCGTCCTACATATGGTAGTGGTGGTGGAAATCATGTATACAGGCTGACTGTACCCCCTCCTGGGCGCCGCCTACACTGAGAGAGGCAGGGGCACGGATCCTCGGCGTGCTGCTCCGGTGCCGCCGAGGCCCCCGTGCCGCCGCACTACCAGGCTGCGGGCCCAGGGCTCCCTCGCCTCCCCCCCCGCGCGTGTCGCACAGGAGCCCGTTCGGAAAAGCCCCCCCGGCGATCACGCGTGTGACTGGCCCCGCTTCCTCCCCCCCTGTAGTCACGTCGCGGCGGTCGTCCGGTGGCGACCGCGGACGTCCTGAGGCGCTCGCAGGCTTCTGTGGCTACCCCCGCCGTAGCGTGACCGGCGCGACGGGACCCACCCACCCCTTCCGGGCACGCGCGTGGCCAGCCCGAAGAAACGAACGGGCTCCAGCCTGCGCCACCGGGGCGGTGCACCGGCCAGGGGCAGCGTCGGGGGGCAGACAGAAGGCTCGGGGGGAGTGGCAAGTCGGCGGCGAGCGAGGGAGGCACGCGAGAGAAGGAGGAGGCCTTCTCGGAAGGCGGCGGGGCAGCTCGGAGGGCTTCTCAGGAGGCCAGGGAGCTCCCGAGCCCTCTGAGAAGGCCCGCCCCTTCTCGCCTTCCCCCCCGGGTTCGCCGCCGAGTTAGAGGAGTGTTTTGTTGGACGCTGCTATTATCAAACAGACTATGGTCTTGGCATCTTTGTACCGGCTACTGGGTGCAGTTAGAGACCACCAGTGGCCACGAAGGGCCACTATAGGTAGCTTACAGTACACTGCATGCCGCAATGGCCACTAGAGGCTACTAAACCCCGAGGCCGTGTATGTTAGTTAGAATATGGTTCCCAAAACACTAGCCTGAGGATGCATCGACCCTGCCCATCGATCGCCGATAGGGGCCTGATAGCACGAACTACTCGAGCATCAACTTCTGGAGGTCCACGCGGATACCTTGGATTCGGGCTGGACCCGCTGATGGCGCCTCTGGCGACGCCCCCGGCGCGCTCCGCGCGCCAGGGAGGGTGGCCCAGCGCCGATTCAAGAAACCCGCCCGGCCTCCGAATCTGTACATTGTGCATGGGCGCTGCGTAAGGGGGGATCATAAATGGGGGGGCGGCGAGTGTGGTCCGAAAAGGTATCCAAATGGTACCTAAACGAGCCCCCTGGGGCTCTGGAGGGGCCCGAAAGGGGCACGAAAGGGGACCTTTTCTGACCCCCCCATTTGTGACCCCCCCATTAAGCCACGCCCACTGTGCTTATTATTTTGCCCTGCACGTCCTGCACATGACAGCGCCTGTCTTTCCAAGCCCACTTGCCACTGCGCTTCGGGTCGGTCATGGTCTAGGACGCCTCATTGCGTTCCCTATGGTCTCGGTGAAAAGACGGCCCCACAGTCGGTCCCAAGCAGGTTGTGATGAGACCAGTTCTGGTGGTTGTCATCCGTCCGAAGTTGCTGGGTCCTCCCCAGGGGCCCGAGGGCAATTGCGCCTCGCGCCTCGCGCCTCGCGCCTGATGGTCACGACGCCATTGCGCCTCGCGCCTCCGCTTATGGTCAGGTCGGTCATGGTCGCGTACGCGTGTGTCCAGAGCCGCCTCTGAGACCGTCTTTGGTGAGGCATCCACAGGCGTCCTCGGTGGCCTCGGAGGTTTGCGGCATGCCAGCAGGCACTTCGAGTGGTTTCTCTTGCCACAGACTTGCCGTCAGAGTTTGCACGCAGCAGAGATTTGACAGAACTTGCAGGCAGCTTGAAGTGCCAGTTTGGCACTTTTGAGTGGTTTGAGAACTTGCAGGCAGCAGAGATGTGGAGTGCAGTCCGAGGGTCCTGATGCCGCCCTGGAGGCTGTCGGCTTCTGTGCGTTGTGTGGTCGCGGGCTGTGAGCCACTCGACCTTGCTTGATCTGGGCCTCCCGCACATGGGGTCGAAGTGGCAGATGGGGTCGGAAGATCGCGCCGCAACGCCGATGCATCGGCGATGCGGCTCGATGCGGAGCTCGATTCTCTCCACGACGCGGGCGCCGCTGCATCGCCGACGCCGAGGATCTGCAGCGCCGAGGCCCCCCGGGGAAGGGCCGGGAGCGCAGCTCGAGGAGCGACGCGCTTGCGCCCGAGGACGGCCGGGCACGGGCGGGGCGGCCCTTTTCTTCGCCGAGCGCCCAGGCCAGGGGGTCCTCCTCCTCCTCTTCCTCCTCGCTCCTCCTCTTCTCCTCCTCCTCCTCCTCCTCCTCTTCCTCCTCCTCCTCCTCTTCATCCTCCTCCTCCTCTTCCTCCTCCTCCTCCTGCTCCTCCTGCTCCTCCTCCTCCCCTCCTCCCCTCCTCCCCCTCCCCCTCCTCCACCCCCTTCTCCCTCTCCTCCTCCTCCTCCTCCTCCTGCTCCTCCTCGTCCTCCTCCTGCTCACAGCCTGAAGCAGCGAGGCCTGGAGCGCCCAACACCACAGGATGGCGCGCCACACGCAGTGTCGTAGTTCTCGTCACACTGCGAGTGTGAAGTTGCATGAGGCGTAAGCGAACCGAGGACAACCCAAAGCCGTGAGTTCAACAAGTGGCGCAGCGTCCTGGCTTCCCTATAAGCCCACCAAAAGATGCTCTAAGAACCTTCTGTGGTCTGCACGAAATGTTCTTAGAACAGTTCTGACTGAGACTGTATTGATTTAGCTCATCGGGAACATGTTATCATAATATTGTTTTGGTTCGTAGAACATTTTGGGTTCTAAGAACATGTCGTGGTAGGCCCATAGGAATGCCGGGACGATCGGTGCCTGCTCAATGAGTGTTGTGTTTGGAGCGCCGTAGCTCGTCGGCGGCATCCGAACCCGACCCTCGCCGATCCAGTCTCCAGGCAGCTCGATGAGCGCCGGGGGTAGTGGCCAGAACTCAGTAAATATGCGGCGGAATCCGAACCTTACCCCCGCCTCTCATCGATTGAGGAGAATCTATGTTTGGTGAGGGTAGGGCTCGGATGTCGCCGCCTGGTGTCGCGCATGGCAGAGATCCTGCCAAACGGCGGTGCAAATTGTCGAAAAAAGATTCGTTGACTCAGACGTGCGCTGTAGCATGGCCTGGCCCCCTCATTTTTGACATGAGAAGTCGTCGAGTGCGGGGCGTTGTAGATCTTGCGCATACGTCATGCTCGGAGCGCGTCGGTCTTGTCCAGATCAGCTTTTGAAACAAAGCGCTGAGACGAAGCGTTTCTAACATGTGTGTGTGTGTATGTAAGTTCGGAGATGACGCACGTGGCGAAGAAAACGAGCTTCCGCCTCCGTGCAATGCTGGCGCGCTGCCAGACTATCAGGAGCTTGTCGAAGGTCGAAGGCCGCCCTAGCTTCGCCAATTCGCTTGGAAACGGTTGTGCCCGTGCCGCCATTCGCGCTCAGAGGGTTGCGACGCGACGTTGATAGGCGCTTCCCTTCTCGTACGCATTTGTTGTCGCGTCTTGCTTGCAGGCAGGTGTACCGTCGTGTCCAGGCATAGCTCCAAAGCATCGTTTCTAGCTCTGCGGCTGAGGAAGATCAGAATCCACAGCTACCTGCTGTTTTCGTCGGACACCATTGCTTATGTAGGAGGAGGAGGAGGAGGAGGAGGAGGAGGAGGAGGAGGAGGAGGAGGAGGAGGAGGAGGGGACATGTTGGCATAATAGATGAAGGATGAGAGAAGAGGCTCCGCGGAGACGAGCCGTGAGGAGTGAGCAGTGATGCGTGCGCCACGAGGCGCGAGGACGGACGAGTGAGGCGTGGGGGTCGCGAGGAGGTGCGAGGAGCGGGGAGCGCTGGCTCCTGGCGTCGCCGGGCGAGCGGTGAGGAAGGGGCGAGGAGGAGCGGTGGAGGCTCTGCGGCGGAGCCCGCGGCGGCAGCAGCGACCCCGCGGCCCCGGCGGCGGCGGCGGGAAGCGCCGCAGGCCATGCACCGCGCGCCACCGGTGCACGGAGCGCCGCCGCACCACGGCCGGGCGGGGGCCGCTCTCCCCTCTGGCCTACCTCGGCGTGGGGAGAGAGAGAGAGAGAGAGGGAGGGGAGGGTCGGGGGAGGGGGGGAGGGAGGAGGGGCGTGGAGGGGGGGAGCGGGGAGGGGGGGAGGGAGGAGGAGGGAGGGAGGAGGAGGGAGGGAGGGATGGTGGGGGGAGCCTGGAGAGAGAGGAGGCAGGCGGGATGGGGGCGGGAGGTAAGCAAGGTGGGCTCGCTCCATATCTGACGGGGATGGAGGAGGGGGAGGAGGAGGAGGGGAAGAAGGGGGGTCCGAGGGAGGGAGGCTGCAGAGACCTCGGACGCACAAGCCTGCGGTGAGTCGCGCGTGCTGGTCTGACGCGGGCTGTTCCGGCGAGAATCCCCTCGAACGCCTGGCGGACGCTCGTTGGCCACACGTTTCTGCCACGGCGCACTCTTCGAGTGCATTCGGCTCGCCGTGCGGGAGGCTGGGTGACAGCGCGGGAGCTGGTGGGCCTCCGGTCAAGGGGCCGTTCGGGACTATGTCTTGCCTCGGCAGCGCGCGGGGGTCGCGCTCCAGGAGCCCATCACCGGGGCACCGCCGAACGGCAGCAGTTGGTCATCCCCAGCCGCGCGCAGAGGGGTTTGGGTGGAGGGGGAGGGCTTCTTAGGAGCACCCCTGCTTCTTAGAAGGCGCGGGTCTGATCTAAGCAGCAGCCTCCTCAGAAGCTCTCCCCCCTCCTTCCTCCCCCTTGTGCGCGCCGCCAATATCCAGCTGCGCTGCCGTGCGGACTCGCCACCGCGCTCGGGTCTGCGCTGTGCGCCAGGGACTGTGGGGGAGGGGCTTTGACCACCTGCCGTGCGACTCGGGGCTTACCCGACCTGTACAACTGATGGGGGATCATGCCCAGCGTTCCTGAGTATGGCGGGGGGCTCTGGGCAGGGCCTTGTCTCGCCCTCCCGATTCCCGACAGGCCCTTCGCGCGATAGCAGCGTTGTTCCATTCAGAGCGTTACCAGTGTCCCCACGACCGAAATCCCCGACATGGGTGGTCCTGGGAGTGATTGGCTCGCCGATGGTGGGCCAGGAGGCTTCAGGTACACGTTGCTTGCTGCAGTGGCACGCGGCTCGCCCGAATTTAGCTCGACTGCTCCAGAAGTGACACACCAAATTGATCGAGGTTTACCTTCCTTGGCACAGCTCTTCCCCATTCCGACGCAGCTGGGATACTTTAACGGACTTGAGCATTTGTGTGCCGAGTCTGTGGGCCCATCTCCAGCACATATTCCTATTGTTATTTGTCGTTCCAATCTTTGCAAGCGCAGTTTCGAAAGGCTGATGGTGTACTGGCCTCCGAAATGGTTCCTAAAGGTGAAGGAGGCGGGCACGATTCATCACTGAGCGACGTGGATTGATGATGCCGGCTTGGGAATTAAAGTCAAGATGGTATATGCAAAGCAACGCGTTCCTGATTGTGGGAGTGCTCCCTTATTGTGGTCTCGCTGGGTTCATTCCCTCTCCTCGCCCCCCCTGCCTTGCCACTCGCCCATTCCCCATGCTCCTTCTGCCCCCCATTCCCCCTCCCCTCTCTTCCTCGACGCTGCCTCTCCCGCTCCTCCCCCTGGTTCTCGTTACCTTGTTCTCATCCGCCACCTACGTCTCCGCCTCCTCCTCCTCCTCCTCCGTCTTCGCCTCCACAGCCTCCTCCTCATCCTTTTTCTTCTCCGCTTCCTTACAGTCATCGTCGTCCTTTCTCTCATTATCCATTGTCACTACTACTGTTCACAGCTGCTACATGCGCCGTTGCTTTCACCATTGCGAGATCTCTGCAATCGCCCCCACTGCGACCACGGCCACTGACACATCTCTCGCTACCACGACGATTGTCATTGCATATGCCACCAACACCTACTGCTGCTCGGTTCTTCATACTAGAAAATTGCAACAACTGTTTCTCCGAAACAGAGTCAGGCTGCGGCCATAAGGAACGTTTGATAAGAGACGACGCCACCGTTTGGCCCCAACAATGCCTGGGAGTACGAGGAGCGGTAGAGGAACAAACATGCAGTCTTGTAAGGACCATCGAGGCGCTTATGAACTTGAAGTGTTTATGTCAGCGTTGCTTCGCGCTGGCTGTCGTTACTTTGTATTGGTTGGCAATGAGTTGTGTTGATTTGCATTGTCATGCACTGCTTTGCATTTATGTGCGTCTCTTGGTAGTGCTCGGCATTGCATTGCTAGGCATTGAGTCGCCTTGCATTGCATTGCCTGGGATTGCTTGGCATTGAGTCGCATGGCTTTGCGTTGCTGTGTTTTGTTGTGCGTTGCTTGGTATTGATTTGCCTTGCTCTGCTTAGCAGTGCGTCGCGTTTCATGCCATTGCTCGGCCGTGCCTTGTATTACCTGACATTGTCTGGTATGGCTTGCCATTTATGGCATTTCCAGATATTGCGTGGCATGGTTTGGCATTGTTTTTCTTTGCTTTGCTTTGCATATCTTTGCTTGGCATTGATTTGCTTGTTCATTGCATCGTTTGGCAGTGCCTGGCATTGTCAGGAATTGCTTGGCATTGCATGGCATTGCGCTGCATTGCTTCACTTTGCATTTGTGCGGCATGTTTTGGCACTGGTTGACATTGCCTGGCATCGCTAGGCATTGCTCTGCATTGCTTTGCATTGCTTGGCATTGCTTTCCTTTTTTGTCCTTGACATCGTATTGCTTTGCATTGCATTGGTTGGCAACTGAGCAACCCAGGCAACAGGGCGCCCGGGGCAACCCTGGCAACCGGGCAATGCGGCAAGAGGGCAAAGGGCAGCCGGCAGCCGGGCCAGCGGGCAACGGGGCACCGGGGCAGTCGGACGGCCAGGCAACCCGAGGAGGGTGGGGCAACCCGAGGAGGGCGGGGCAACCGCGGGCATCCCGAGGGCAGGCTGGGCAGCCGCGGGCCTCCCCGAGGAAGGCAAGGCCGGCCTGCAATGGCAAGGCAACCAGCGTTCCTGCAGAAGTGTTCTCGCGCGTGTCCTCCCTCCCCTATCGACCCTGACTGTATCTGGGGAGATGCAGTGACGAGGAGACGAGGCAGGAGCAGGAGCACGGCACGATGTGGGCGGGGCGGGGGGAGGGATGAGGGGGCGAATCGGGGGGGGGGAGGGAGGGGGGAGCATGAGGAGTGGCGAAGCCAGAGGGGAGGAGGAGCAGAGGAGGCGTGGAGGACGGGATGGCGGGGGGAGGACGACGGGAGCGTGGAGGAGCAGCAGCAGCAGCAGCAGCAGCAGCAGCAGCAGCAGCAGCAGCACTCAAGCCCTTCAACCGCTCTGGTGAAAAACTTGGCTCGGGCTTGGGCCGTGCAAGCCTTGTGTAGCCCCCTGTCGCCATTCCGCCTTCTAGGCAACCATGCTGCTACACAGAGTACACGCGCTCAGTTACTGCCGAAAGGGGCGACAAGAAGTGGGACCGAGCGTGGAGGAGGAGGAAGAGGAGGAGGAGGAGGAGGAGCAGGTCGTCCGGGAGACCAGGCCGAGGACGAGGGAGGGGGCACGAGCCATGCAGAGGATGCGGAGGAGGACCTGGAACCTCGGTCCTCCGCGAGCCCTGGAGCCCCGGTCCTCCTCGATCCTCCTCGATCCGCGGAACCTCGCTCCTCCTCGACCCTCTTCGATCCTCCTCGGTCCTCCTCGATCCTTCTCGAACCTCCTCGACCCTCGACCTTCCTCGGCGTCCCAGAGAGGTTTCGGCCCTGGAGCCTCGATGCTCCTCACCTCCGCGCACGCCGCCGCGGGCGCGCCGCGGGGCCGGGCAGGTCCTCAGCCTGGGCAGTTCTCCCAGCCGCCGGTGGCGGCCTGCGCCTCGGGAGCAGGGCTCATCTCGGCTCCTCCGATGCAGTTTGATTCGATTTAGATGTCAGGCGATCGCAGCCAGGGATCAAAAGGGGGCGTGGATTCGCGACGGGTCCCGTTTCCATGGGGAATCGCGGGTTGCCGCCGCCGAGCGAGGCGGCACCGGCCGCCTTTTGGGGAGGGCACCTCCCCCCGATCCATGGATTAGGCGACCGCGCGCCGAATCCATGGATCGCTAATCCATGTTTGCGCGCCCCCGACGATGGCTTCCGATTCCGATTCGATTCGATTTGGGATTCCGATGTGGATTCCGATTTCTCAACGGAGGCCTACCAGGCTGCCGATTTCTGCCGATTCGGTGTCTCCCGACTCGGCTGCTGAGTTCCGCCGATCCGATGCATTTCGATCGCCGATCCGACTTATTGGGGGAGGTCAGAGGCCACGTCGGGTCGCCGTGGGGCAGAAGCGGGTCCTGAGGGAAACGGGCCCTGTTTTTTTTCGCCGTTTTCGGGCTCTCGGGACCCTCAACGGGCCCAGGGACTGCCAGAGAACGACTCACGGGCTTTGGCCTTTTTCTCCGTTTTCGGACTCTCGGGGCCTTCACGGGTCCAAGGGCTGTCAGAAACCGAAGCAGGATGAAGATCTCGTCATGGGGGAAGGCCTCCGGGTCCAGGACACGTGTCCCACAGGATCCATTTCCCCAATGCTAAACGTTATGGGAGCCTTGAGACGGGGGTCGATCCAAGCGGGGGTCAGCCAGAGTGCCAGATCTTGCAGGATCTTGCAGAGCCAGGGGTGCATCGACCTGGGCTTGCGTGCAGGATCTTGCAGGAACCTGCATGCACTTGCAGGATTATGCAAAGCCTGACTGACCTGGGTTTGCATTGACCCGGGTCTGCGCATCCGAACGTTAGGGAGGGTAGGCTCAGGGTCGAAGAGGAGACAATTCATGGACCATGGGGGGAACACCCCAAATTTCAGCACCTCTCTATTGGACAGGCGTGGAGGAACAAAATATTGCACAAAAATTGCTTTCGGCGTTCCGCGCGGATTTCTTGGATCGGCACTGGGGCCCCCCTGTCGACGCCTCCAGCGCCGCCCCTGGCGCTCTCCGCGCGTCAGTGAGGGTGGTCTAGCGCCGATCCAAGAGATGCCGTAGACGCGCTACCGGTGTGTTAGCTAACGGCGAAGTAGGACAACCAATTGTAGGAAGGCGTGGTTCGTGGCCAAATCAACTGTAGTAACGCGTGGTTCGTGTTGTACTACAGCTCGCTGTGTCGTTTTCGTTCGATACAATTGAAAATTCGAAAGCGCGACGCGCCCCTGGCGCACTCCGCGCGTTAGGGAGGGTGGCCAGTGCCGATCCTACAGAGCCGCGCGGAGCTCCAGAAGTTTGATTGTTATGCCTGTGCAGAGTTCGTCCTCCTCCTCCTCCTCCTCCTCCTCTTCCCACTCCTCGTCCTCCTCCTCCTCATCCCCCTCCTCCTCCTCGTCCTTTGCCACTTCAGGTCCTGCCTTTGCTTGCTCCTGTGCAGGGGGCGAGGTGCCGATCCCCAGTCGCCCACCTGATCGCCGACAAGGGTCTGATAATTTGCCCACCCCGCCCAGGGTTTTAAGTCGGGCGTGTCCCTTTTTACATGACGGAATTCGAAAAATAGTAAGAAACATAGTCTGGGGACGACTTCTCTCCAAACAATAATCGAAAAATGCTCCAAACTAGTAGCAAGGTAGTCTTTTTGATTTTGTTGTTTGTATGTTTTTGTTTTTTTTGATTGTTCCTTCACAACCCGCCTGTAAGTAGGAGGACATGCCCGACCGAAGCCTTGGAAGGCACGGTCTCGACATCGGGGGCCCATCGCCGATCCGGCGGGCATCGCGGCGTCCAGGCCTGCACGCTCCCCCCGCCCCGAGCCGGTGCCCCCCGGGCGTCCCCCCTCTCGGGAGAGCGGGGTGGTCGGCGTGCGCAGGCAGGCCTGCAGCGAACCTCGTCGCCTCTCGTCGTGGTCGTGGTGCGTCGCGTGGCGCCGTCGTCTTCGTCGCCGTCGTCGGCCGCGTCCTTCGTTTTCGCCACAGTCCCTCCAAACTCCCTCCTGCCTCCTGCCTCTCACCTCTCTCTCTCTCTCTCTCTCTCCTTGCTCTTTGCAGCGTCCTCCCTTCATTCAGGCTTGTGCTCCCGAGGGGGCATCGCGTCAGCTTCCCCTCTTCTCTCCCCTTCATTCCTTCACGCACACGCACGCGCACACGCACACGCACACGCACACGCGCGCGCAGACGCACGCACACGACGAGCATGCAAGCTCACATGCCTTGTTTAGGGCCGCGCATGGTACGTATTTCATGCTTCCTGTCTAATCCGCCTTTCCCCGAGACAGCGCGTGCGGAACCCAGCCGAGGTGGACGCAGGCCCCAGACATCCAGCCGAGTTCGCCCAGGAGCGCGTTGGGGAGTAATGGCAGTGGGTCTGGTTAGCACATCGCCAGGCCTGAGGCTGCCACCGCCACCGCAGTCAGCGGTGCCGCTGCGATCGACAATGCTGCTGCTGTTGTTGCTGCGGCTGCTGTCGGTGTTGCGGCTGCGCCGCTGCGTCTGTGATTGTGGTTCCGTCTCCTGGGAGTCTTGCTTACCCCATCTCCTTGTCGCCCGCTTCCTCATCCTCCTCATCTTCCTTTCTGTCCTAGTCCTCGTCATTCTCTTGCGTATTTCCTTCAACCTTTTTCATGTCCTCTTCTCGTCATACTAATACTCTTCCTTATCTCATTCATCTAATTTCTCGTGCTCCTCCTGCCCCCCAGCTGATCCTCTTCCCATCGTGCTTATTATTCTTCCTCATTCCTCGTTGTTCTCATGTTCTTCCGCCGCCTCATCGTCTTCCTTTCTTCTGCATGCCCTTTCCTTCATCCTCACCCTCCACGTCGCTGTTGTTGGTGGCTGTGCAGGCTCGCCTCCGGTTTCCTCCTGATCCCCATCCTCCCTGACCTCTCCCTCGTCCTTCCTAGCCTGTTCTTGCCCCCTATCATCCCTGCACTCCCATCCCCCCCAATCACTCTGAAGTCTCCCCTCCTTCCTGATCCCTGATAGACCTTCGCGGCCGCCCCGCCACTCCTCCTGCGCCCGACTTGTCGCCCCCCGGGGCGACCAGACGGACCCCCTGAAGTACCAGGCCTTCGAGGAGATGTCCGTGTCCGTCACGGAGGACGCACAGCCCTGTCATCGAAGAGGGAATCCGACACAAGTATAAACTTTTGGCGCTCCGCGCGGATTTCTTGCATCCGCGCTGGGCTCCCCTGATGGCGCCTTCGGCGCCGCCCCTGGCGCGCTCCGCGCGCCAGGGAGGGGGGTCCAGCGCGGACTCAAGAAATGCGCGCCGAGCGCCAAAAGTGTATGTTTATGGGGTGTTTTCTTCTTCGATGTCAGCTTCTCGGCTGGGCTCGGTCGGTGCGGACGCCCAAGCATTCTCCTGAGGGTCCTGGCGTCGCCTCTTTTGCACACTGGGCGCTCGTTCTCTCTGGCCCAGCTGCGGGCCCCAGGGCCCTCGCAGATCGGTCCGCCTCGAGAAGTGCCGCAGGAAGATGGGGGCTGGAGGTGCCCGGCTGATTTCTGTGTCAACGATGTTGCATTTGTTCGCGGCGTCGGTGGTGGTGGTCGTGGAGGAGGGAGGAGGAGGAGGAGGAGGAGGAGGAGGAGAGGAGGAGGAGGAGGAGGAGGAGGGGAGGAGGAGGAGGAGGAGGAAGGAGGAGGGGGGGACGGGGGACGGGGAGGGGGGAGGGGGGAGGGGGAGGTGGGGGGAAGGAGGAGGAGGAGGAGGAGGAGGAGGAAGGAGGAGGAGGAGAGAGGAGGGGGAAGGGGGAGGAGTGAGTGGGAGGAGAAGAGGAGGAGGGAGGAGGAGGAGGAGGCGGAGGAGGAGGAGATGAGAAGGAGGAGGAGGAGGAGGAGGAGGAGAAGAGGAGGTGGAGGAGGAGGAGGAGGACGGGGAGGAGGGGAGGAGGAGGAGGAGAGGAGGAGGAGGGGGAGGAGGAGGAGGAGGAGAAGGAGGAGGAGGAGGAGGAGGAAGAAAGGAGTAGGAGGGGCCCTCCGTTTGTGCAGTCAGGGCCAGTGTCGGTGCGGCCCGTGTCTGCAAAGCGGCAATTTGGCGCGTTCACAGCCGTCTTCCGCGCGTGCAGAGTGATGGGTTTGTTTTCCACCACCACCATAAGGTGGAGGGGGAGGGGGTCCTCCTCCTCCACCTCCTCCTCCACCTCCTCCACCTCCTCGTCCTCCTCGTCCTCCACTGCCTTCCCCCTCTCACTTATGGTGGTGGTGGTGGTGGTGGTGGAAAACAGGCCCATCACAGGGTCCGTTGCCGGCGGGGTCGGCGTCAGGTTGTTTGCCGCCGCGGCGTCAGGTGGCGTGGGGGTCCCCCCGGAGGGCGTTAACCTCGCCACGTCTGCGCACCGCACCAGGGGTTGGAGTGCCTCCGGCGCGTGGTGGGGTCTGTGTGGAGCTGTTGACGGGAGTGGCGCCATCCCGACGCTTATTTCAGAAGCGCAGATTTGCAAGGATGCAGTATTTCGCCAAGCCAAACCTTGAATCTTCTTCTCTTCGGCCAACTCGTCCCTTTTTGGTCCTTTCCCTTCGGCCCGTTGAGTAAACATGTGTAGACGCACAGCGCGTCCGCACGATTGACCGCGCCCTTGCTGCTTGTGGTGCGGGCGCATCGGATCTCTGAACAACGTTTGGCAGGCCTGGTTGCGGTTGCGTTTGTTGGCCTGAATTTTGGCATGGGCCCCCCGAGTTCTGGACCCCTTCGCTGGGGCTGGCTTTTCATCCTGAGTTTTTTCTGTTGGCGCAGAGGACAGAAGTGGCACCTAACCGTCCATTCGTCTGTTCTGGGTGTAGCCCGATCTTTTTTATGACTTGTTCTGAACCGGTTGTCTTACTGACTGATCGATTTTATTTAATCGCTTCGCTCATTCCGCCGGCCCATACAGTCTCGTGTCTGCCGTTTGCCCGAGGGCCTGGTGTCAATGCGGCGCTTTGGGGGTTCCTGGGGCCGCTTGGGGGACTCCTGGGGCGCTCGGGGGGGCATTTAGGGGGCCTCCTGGGGCCGCTTGGGGGACTCTTGGGGGCCTCCTGAGGGCCTCGTGGGGGCCTCTTGGGGCCTCTTAGGGGCCTCTTGGGGCCTCGTAGGGGCTTCTTAGGGCCGAGGGCTCGAAATGTTGTTTCGTGTTCCCTCTCTGGGGCCCCTTTGGGGGCGTTCTTGGGGCCCTCTTGGACCGTTCTTGGAGGCTTCTTGGGCCGTCTTCGAGCCCTCTTGGGCCATCTTGGGGCCCTCTTGGGGGCCTCTTGGGCCCTCTTGGGGCGATCTTGGGGGCCTCTTGGGCCGTCGTGGGGCGTCGGGGAGCCGAAAAGGTGGAAGCTCCAAAATCTTTCAAAAACCTAAGGAAAAGCAATGAATTTTGCCTCCGGGGGCCCTTTTGGGAGTGCTCTTGGAGGCCTCTTGGGGCGTCTGGGGGCCATCTTGGGCGTCTTGGAGCGATCATGGGGCATCTCGGAACCCTTGTGTACCATCTTGGGAGCCTCTTGGGGGCATCTGGACCCGTCTTGAGGGTTTCGGGGACGTCTCGGAGCCCTGTTGGTGCGCTCCTGGTGCGCTCCTGGAGCGCTCTGGGGGAGTCTCCCGGGGATCGCCCGGGGGTCGGTCGGGGTACTTTTCGTCCGGGGACCCCCAGGGGCCGCCCCGCGCGCGCGAACTAGAGATACTGTTAACCAGTTACCGGAGACCTTAGCACGCCTCTGGCCCGTTGGGCCGGCGAATTGATTGATTAGTCGTACGCAGTATCAGGCAGGCATATTATCGGACGCCGAGTGACTTAACATATTGTACACCCGCTAGCATCAGTTATGTGCTCGGCTGCCGAGGGCGGAACCTATGGCGCATCTCCTGTTTGTAGGCAGTTTTGCGTTCGGCCGCCGAGGGCGCAACCAGTAGATCGCGCAGTCTATAACGCAAACCCATAGATGGCGCAACCGATTCCACAATCAATGGCGCAACCAATAGCAGGTCGTTCGAAGGTTCGATCGCCGAGGGCGCATCCTGTGGCACAGTCCATGGCTCAACCCATGGCACACCACATGGATGGCGCAACCTTTTGCGCTGGCGCAGTTCATCAATACCTGTAGCGCAGACAGTGAACGGTGAAACCCATGGCGCAGCCAACATTGCTGGCACATCCCGTGGATGGCGTAACCCTTGGGCGCGACCTTGGGCGTTGGCGCAGACCATCGCGCAACCTAATTATGGCGCAGCGACAGACGGCAGGAGGGCGGGCTGGAAGGCGACGGGCTGGTCGGCGGGGCCAGGCAGCAGGGAGTGGGCGAGGGAAAGCGAAGGCAGAGGGGATTGTGGAGGAGGAGGAGGAGGACGACGACGATGAGGAGGAGGAGGAGGAGGAGGAGGCAGAGAAGGAGGAGGAGGAGGAGGCAGAGGGTGGGGGATGGAAGGGCGAGTCTTGAGAAGGCGATCGGCGGTGGAGGCGCTGGATGCCTGCGGCAGGCGAGGTGCAGGGACGGGGAGGAGGGTGGTATAGTCAACCTGCATTGTAAGGATGCACACCTTTCCAAGGTTACCCTTTCCGGCGATTGCGAACATGGATCAAGGGGGCGTGGATTAGCGACGGGTCCCGTTTCCATGGGAAATCGCGGATTTCCGCCGCCGAGCGAGGCGGCACCGGTCGCACTTTGGGGAGGGCACCTCCCCCGAT